GGCTGCTCACTGGCTGAGCGAGGTGCGGGTGCAACACCGAGGGTTGCAATCCCGTTGCCGGTCCCGGTCCGGTACGGGCGCGACACTGAGGGTTGCGATCCATTGCCGGTCACGAAAAAAGACAAAAGGGAAAAAAAAAAAGAAAATGCATTTCATACCCCAACAAACCCATCACAAAGTTGAAAAACTGTAAGTGGGGGACCATCTGTATCTTGCGATGTAACCACAGGAGTGATGTCCATCAGCTCTGCCACATGGTGTACCCTAACCATGGGGCTGCCATCCCACTGCCTTTACTGTATTCCATTGGTTAGAAGCAAGTCACAGGTCTTGCTCACACTCAAGGGTTGGGTATTATACAAGGATGTGTATCATTGGGGGTCACCTTAGTGTGTGTTCATCACACTTGCCAGTTTTTTTCTTGTCTATTTTTCCCCACTAGAATGTAAGCTCCATGAGAGACTTCTATGTCTTATTTTTGCTCAGTCCCCAGTGCCTATGCCAGGGCCTGAAAGCTAGTAGGTGATCATCTTATATTTTTTTTCTAATTAAACTTTTTTTTTTTTTTAGTTTATTATAGACTCTCAAGAATAGTAAGGAGAGGATCCATGTACCCATCATCAGCTTCCCCCAATGGTGATATCTTGTACAACTCTAGTACATTATCAAAATGAGGAAATTAATTATTTTTTTCTGTTTAAAACCAGGAAATTAGTATTGGCACAGTACAATTAACAATAAAGTCTATAGACTTTACTCTGATTTTATATTTTGCATATACTCTTTTTTTGGTGGGGGGAAGTATGTCTTTGTGTATAATACTATGGCACTTTATGACATATAGATTTGTATAACTACCACCACATTCAAGATACAAAATTTCTGTCACCACAAAGGAACTCCTTTTGCTATCCTTTGTAGTGATCCCACCCCCTTCTCTAATCCAGGGCAACCACTGATTTGTTCTTCATCTCCACACTTCTGTCATTTCTAGAATGCTATATAAATGCAACTTTCAAGATTGCCTTTTTTTTTTTTTTCACTCAGAATAATGCCCTTGAAGTTTATACAACTTGTTGCACATATGGATAGTTCATTCCTTTTCATTGCTGAGTACTGTTCTATTGTATGGGTGTACCTGTTACTGGTTCAGTCTTACAGAAGTCCTCTATTCCCATAAGGGAGGGACTGCGGTAGATAAGGAAAAAACTAAACACTCAGCTCCCCAGATCCACACAGCACATTGTGAGCATCCTTGTCCCTTGTCACAGACACCCCATGGTGATGTCTGATAAGATTTCATCTTAGTCGGTTTCCTGGCTATTACTGATCTTGCCAGCCACCTTCAAGTCAAGCTGTATTGCCCTGAAGCCTCCACAAGCACTCCAAAATGTTTTTCTGTTCGATGAAACTGCACTGAACA